ACTATAATTTATCAAGTTTAGTAACTAAGCTATATTTCAGACTAAACAAATATAAAATTCAAGCAGACTAAAACACAACCTACCTCCTTGAAATCTTGGTTCAAAAGAAGGAGATGGAATCCTAAAAAATTAAAATGGTTAAGAAAGCCACTAGGGAGACATTCTGAGCTTTAGATTGGTCATTCATGTCATATTTTAAAGAGCATTTCCAAAAATGGAAAGAGGTGGGTGGGGTGCCACTGTGATTCCTTACATGAGCAATACTTTAGCAAATAGAAAAGATAAGATACAAATGGCTATTGTTTGGCAGATGTCATTTGAATGATTTCTATTTCAATCAAATAGGTTATAAGGGTTCCACTTCTCATCCTTTCAGTCAATTTGATTAGCAGTTTTTTCTTTCATGAACAAAAACAGTTTCCATAAAACCATGAGCTGCTCACCCTATGGCAGCTACCATTACAGTCGACTGCACGCTGTAGCACAGTGAATCCCTGTAGTAATATGCACTTACTCATACAGGTTTCTATTTTTTATAAAGAGGAAATATTTTTTAAAAATCTAAAACCTTTTAAAAATGATAAGTTATTAAAATGTTTTATCACAAAAGTCAATGCCCATCAAAAAAAAAAAACTTGTGAGATACTTAAGTGTTACAATACATGTAGCCAGTGGTCAATTTTATACAGCCAGGCTGGAAAGAGTTAAGTGAAACTTTATCAGTAATGGATATTTTATAATTTGCTGTGCTTTCCTTCTGTAATTATTTCTTATGTAGAGTAACTCACATGCACAGAGCTTTAATTTTTGTACATTCTTACCTTTCTTGTGGGAAAAGTACCTTTGTGTCTTCTATCATACCAAACTACAGCAACAGCAGCCATAAAGCTGATCCCATGGTGTAGAGCAATAGGACTGAGGAGACTGAGAATATTCTGTTTCACAGTCTACAGAAAGAAAGAAAAGATATTATGATCTATAATCTTACAGAGAAAATTCATATTTATTTAACTTCCCAATTCACTTTTGAAGAAAAACAATATGACTTTTTAAAAGTGCATGGGTTATTTGTTTCTTGTTTCAGCTTAATGGCAGTGGACAAGTACAAGACTTCCCCCCAAAACAAAACCTTGTCAAAAATAAATATATTTTAAATGTTCAATGCAAATTTGATTAATTACATAACTTTAAAATAACTTGAGAAATTAGATAATTTATACAATAGCCACAACTCGCAAAACATTTGCAGTAGTTTTCATGCCCTTTACTTGAATGTTAACATATTCCTACACTGAAAATTTATTTCCGATAGATACTTACCTCCTCTCACAAATAGCTTTTCTCGACTGATACTACCCTCCATGTGCAAATTTACACTCGCCACACTAGCCTTGATACTCTCACCTTCTCTCACATATATTCACATGAGACATCTGCATGCTGTCATGCAGTAACCGTGAAACAGAGAAATTCACAAAAATGAAGAATTAAATCCTTAAGTAAAAAAAAAGTAGCTATAACGTATTTATAGCAGTCTATGAAATGAACTGAAGTAAGATTATTGAAAGGGAAAGTAAATGTAAAGTTGTAATGAAGGCAGACTTAGCTGAATATGCAGAAATATCTAAATGTGTGTTCACAAAATGATAAATGTATGGTTTTGAAGAAACTGTGCAAGCATATTTTAAAACTAAATAAGTTGAGAAGGCCCATAGAAATTGTACTTAGTGTAATGTGCATATTTTAGGAAACTATACGTAGGTTAAGTGTTGTATGTGTGAAATACTTTGCAAATCTAAAGTTGAAATCTAAGCCAGTCATCACATTATGACAATGAAATTATGCCACTGTGTACCATACTTATTGTATTGAAAAGTTTGACTAAGGAAAAACAAATACGGTAATCCTGAATCTAAAAGGCAATATGCAATCTAGGCCTTTCTAATGATATCAGAGTTGTATGTAGCATTTGATCAAGAAAAATTCCGTACAAACAAACACAAGTGTATTATCTATATAGATTAATTTATATTAGCACATCATTCCATAAATGTTTAACAAGTTAAAAATAAAACAGCAGAACTTTTTGTACCAAGTTTTAGGATTTCAATGACAATAAATTACTCAATTAAAAAATATAATGGCATGGAGAATGTGAGATAAAAAAAACCTGAGAATTTACATTTAATTCTTTCATAAAACTAATTTTCTGTAAAATCGAGAAAATCCAATTTGAAGAAAGTACTAAAGTTGCAGGTATAACACATGAGAGTCTCTTTAAAATATGACAAAAAGGTCACAGTATGTACGCTCCTTTACTCTTCACCTAAATACTATCCATAAAATATAAGAGATCAGAAGACAGCACCTTTGAAGAGCCCATAATCCACCACGAGACTGGTTGATTTTGGCTATTCTTCTCTGACTCAGTAACAGCTTGCCAGACTAATGTAAGGGCAGCCAAAATACGAGGCATGTTGCTCAAAAGAGCTCGGCGGGTTGTAAGAATTGGATCAAGGGCACTCCCTGGTTCCCTAGTTGCTGACTGATCCTAAGAGAAAAACATTTTTTTAATGAACCTGTAGTAAGAAAACTAGCAGGACTCTTCAAATCAAGTACTTCATGATTACGAACTTGGTAAAAGCTATAAAGTTAAGGTGTAATTTGAAGTACTTGTTACAGTTTCCATACTATAACTTTTAATACAGTATGTGTATCATCAGAACATTTTGCAGACTTTTGATAAACATTAAGTCTTTTGTACACACACATAAAATTAAAAAATAATTTTTAAATAAAGTATTTTTATTAAAGATTTGTCCATGAATTTATTTAGTTTGTTTTTTTTTTACTTCTCTGTGTGCAAAATGATTTTCTAATAAAATTAAAAATATTTTTCTTTGTCTCAAAAATCTCAGATTTAATTTGCATAATTTTTAAAATATGTTAAACAAATTTCAAACTTTTTTAGTAAAAATCTATATTTTATATTATTTTCTCTACATTAACTCTATATGATGTTCGTAAATTGGACTGACCTTATAACCACCAAAAAAAAATTGAAATAAATCTAAATCACCTTTTGTTCTTTCTAGAATCACTTCTAAATAGCTTTAAACTTGTAAGAGTATACATCGCTTTATACGTAAATTTTATTGTTTTAATTGCTCTTTGAACCATGCCTAAGTAATATCCCCTCCATAAAATTTATAAATCACTTGGCAAACATGGGGCTTATGTTATGATATCAAGGGCTACTCATGAGTGTACCTTGTGAAAATGTTTTACTATTATTCTTTATTTTACCTATTCTAACCTATAAAGTTTCTCATTTTTACATTTTAGTTACTTTTATAATAATAAATAAAGAATACACATGAAAAAACAAGAAATATAGTATTGACCTGGGCCTTTTTATTTATTTTTTGCTGTTAACTGTTGAGGAACTCAATCCTACTTTTATATACTAATGGTAATACTTAATTAAATAATGCATCAAAGAACATAGAATAATAACACGCAAAAAGCAGACAATGTTCTACAACTATCACTTTTACTGGTTTTCTAACTATACGACAAGAGCCATTAAAAATTTAGCTAAGCTTGTTGATGTGTTTCCCATAGGAATAAAGTTTAAACTGCAAGTGAAATAGACAATTCTCTGTACAGCAACCAATGTATTAAAACATGTCACTGACAGATTAAAACTGTGGCTTTCTCTTGGTTATAAATAATATGGTATTAAATGTTAGAGAGAACTATTGGCAATTTCTGAAAGAGAGAATATAACAGGTTGGAATGGCAAGAGGGATCTGATTTTGTATTTTATGGCTTTGTGACCAAATAAGATTAAAGGCTATAAAAATTATGCTTTGCCTGAGTGATCACAACATTATAAAGAGTAATTTATTGGCACAAAACAAGAGGAAAACCTTTTCTGTGTTTGCTTTATGTGCTTATTAACAATAAAACTGTATATCAATTTCTGAACTATCGTTAATCTATCTATCACAGTTTCTCTGCATACACATTTTCCTATACATTAGTGATTTCTCAAAATCACAAACATGATACACATGAGCATATGATTATTTTTGTATGTAGAAGACTTTCACTATAGAATCATAACTTTTAATGCTTACTTTCTGAGAGTCTGAAGTAGAGAAGACATGCAAAAGGTTGGATATGATCTGCGAGGCATTGATTCCAGGTGCATATGGTTGAGAAGGCATAGGTGGCAACAGTGGCTGATTAACAGGGGTGGAGATTGGAGCAGGTGTATCCAGTAGACAGTAGTGAGTGAGTGTTGTCAAGCTCTCTACTAATGTAACCAAATAGTCTGGAGGAGCATGAAATTCTTCTTTAGATGCAGATTGTTCCCTAAATTAAATGACAATATTTTTTAAACACAGGATGTCCATGAAAAAATCATAGCAAAATGTTAAATTTACTAATTTTCTATTGCAGCTAAACATAAAATTTAGTTTAGATAGTTCATGCAAATGAATTCAAAACTAGTACTCTTAATATGATAAGTACAACAAAATGAATGAGAATTAGACTTAAATCTGGAATCTGTCATCATAATGCAAAAAGCATGGCATGGCCTAAGAAAACCCCAAGGTAATCTAGCTTAAGATTACCAGAATTAAACTTATGAAAATAATTTTAAATGAAGTGGAGTTTTGAGATATAGAAAAATGGAAGTATACATAGACAGGCTAAGAAACAGACAAAGAGACAGGTAGATACCAATAACAGTTTGTTAAATTTACTCTAATTTCAGAGGGGACAAAAGGATTTTTTAAAATTTCATCCATTGTTCTGTTGTATGAAAAAAACTTTTAAAGATTTTGTTTGTCAAGCTTGTGCATATGATGAGGGGCAGATTAAGGCAGAAGCTGTTGGGGCTGTAGCCCCAGGTCTGAACTCAAAAAAAGGCCCATTATATAAAAAAAAAGACCAGTCTTCATTTTATTTAAGAAAACACTTAATAATAATCATTCAACCAAGTCTACTTATTTTTCAAGAGAGAGAGTTTGTGTGTGATGTGAGTAAGCCAATCATGAGATGTAGAGTGAAGAGGTTTGATTGGCTTGCTTCAAAATAGTGCGACTAGGTTCAACCCCGCTTGGAATTAGCATATTTGCATACAGTTTGCAATGAAAATATACTAGGTCTAAGCAAGGCTAGACCTAGTCATGTTAATCGAATAATAGGCCTTGGCGAATCAAAATCTCTTCACTCCACATTTTCATAATGATGTCAGCCAGGTTCCTCCCTCATAGCTTGCAATGACCAAGCAGTAGGGCTAGAATATGACTAAACATAACTTGCTAGGTTAGATTGAAGATACCTATATATTTCAATTATTCATTCTCAAAGGCTTCAGATTTTGTTGAAGAAAAAGAGTTCAATAATCACTGATAAGGTAAGGTAATGTAATAAGGTATTTTAAGTTTTTATGAGTTGTTATTGTATGACTTGTTTGTGTTTCTTGAAAATAATTTGCAAACTGTTTTCCCATGAAAAATCCATAATTACTTGTGGGTCTACATTGTTCCACTTAACAGTTGTAAATAATTCATTGACAACTTGAAAACATCATTAATTGAAGGATATATAATACAAGGCATCCAATATTAAATATTGAGAAAAATAGAAAGATAATTAAATTTGTTCCAAATTCTTTTGAAGATTATGAAGAAAGTATTCCATCATATGAAGTTAAATAAACATTAAAATTATTACAACATTCTTGACCACTGTACAACTGTTAACCTCATGACACAAGGTGAAAGTAGGAATTCTTTATTTAAATTCGGTTAAACTTCTTCAGAGGGTGAGGAAGAGAAGGGAAGAGGAGAGAAAAAAATACCAAAAGAAAGGGATGAACCCAAAAAAGGAAAAAAAAATGTTCTATCCTAAGCAAAAGAATGAATTTAAATGGGTAGAGTACAATGAGAGTGAACATCTGATGTGTTCCATGTAGAAAGTGTGAGAAGGAATGTACATTTGTCATGGGAACAAATAATTTTAGAACTGATTCTTTGAAAAAACATGATGCAAGTACATTACATATATCAGCTCAAAGAAGGCATGTCTTGGAATGGATGAAAAAGTAATTGTGCACAGTGTTTTGTTCATATACTGGAAAAGTGGAGATAAGAATGAGTGTTGGAGCATGTGCTGTACCTGGATGTTGCTATCAGAAGGCTAAATGACAGTCAAAAAGCACAATTGCTCACTTGTTTTAACACTGCTTACTTCATTGCTAAGAATGAATTGCCCTTTACTTTGTACCAAACTCTTCTTGATTTACAAGCTGAGAATGGTGTTGAGCTGCCAAATAGTTATTGAGCTGATCAGGCTTGTAGAAGATTTATGCAATTCATGTATGAGGATATCTGACAAGAAGCACACAGTTTACTGAAGAATACACAGATGTTATTTATAATGTTTGATGGTGCAACAGATTTTTCCCTTTGTAAACATGAGATTGTGTATGCTTGGGATGTGGTGGAAGTTGTGCAAAAATATATCTTTGTAAAGATAAAAAATGTGGAGCATGTACATGCCTAAGGTGTTTGGGCAGCAATAGAGTTTGCATTGGACAGTGTGGGCAATGCAGGTTGGAACTGGAAGGAAAACTAATTGCACTGGTTCAAATGGAGTAAAAGTGAACTTGGAGAAAAAGCAAAGTGTGGTAAAACTCAAAATTAAGTGCCTCATCTTGTTGCCATATCTTGTGTAGGTCACAGATTGGAACTTGGTGCATTAGATGTAATGAAGGATAAAGATGCAAAGATCTTTAGTGATCTTAAAACTGTTTTGATGAATTTACACAAACACTATCATAACAGTGCAAAAGCATTGAGAAGAGCTTCAAATGTTAACTAAAGCCAAGGAGAAGAACACGATAAAGCCAGTAAATTTGGAAGGTACCAGATGGATGTCACATCTGAGTCAATGTCCTGATGTCCTCTTATGGCAGTATTTAGTGTTTATTACTCAATTTGAGAACACTGTAGAGGATACGTGTGGGACAGTGGATGTTCAGAGCAGAGCCAAGCTAATTCTTAAACATCTGAAAGATTACAATCTTATCCATTACATGCACTTTCTAAAGGATGGATTGTCTATCATGAACAAACTTTCATTACAGTTTCAAAAGGATAGTTGTAGTTTACATGATGCTGTGGAAGTCCTTGAAACATCTTCCCTGTAGCAAAAACCAGGAAAAAAATCTGCAGATGTTCTGAAACAGTTTAGAGGAATATAATACATTCCAAGGTGTGAAACTTCATGCTCCCAATTTAACAGAGGAACAGCTCAAGAAAAAACAAAATTCCCTCATTCAGTTGGTTATCAACAATGTGAATAAGACACTGGTGACAGATTCTGACCATCTAATGAAGGACATGCAAATATTCTATCTAATCAACCTTCCAGAAACTGATGCTGATATTGCAATATACAAAGAAAATGAAGTAAATAATCGGTGTGAATACTACTCCACAGTTCTAAATAGGATGGGATGTGACATTCAACATTTGAAATAGGCAGAATGGCCAGCTCTGAAAGTTCATATGAAGAAGCAGCCAAGATGCATTAATGTTTAAGAATTCTATCAGAAGCTTTTCTTGAACCCCAACTTGAAAGACACTTTTAAGAACATCATCATGCTAGTTGAGATAATTTTGTGTATACCAGTTTCAAGTGCAATATGTGAGAGGGGATTTACTACATCAAGTCATTATCTTGTCATAGGAGATTACTGGTATTGACTGATGTTAATTATAACATTCTGTGCTTTTAGAGTAATAGCTATGAATAAAGTAATTCTAGCATAATACTCTAGTTTTAAGTTTTAAAATGTTATCGTTTTTACTTTTAATTTATTTTTCTACAAATGTATTCAAAATATTCTGTAATTCACAAATGTGCCAAAGTAGAGCATGATCACAGATCCAAATAGTATGTAATACTTCTGCAAATTTTCTTATTTTCCTTGACCTGGAATAATACAATAATTATCATTTGTTATTTTTCTTTACTTTGTATTTGTTTTCTTTTGCTGTTTTTGATTCATCCTCTTTGTTTAATAACATACTTTTACATCTATTTACCAACGTACCATGTCCTAATGTATGTAGTTATTCTTTATTTTTAGTTAGATGAAAAAAAAAAAGATTATTTTCCATCTGATATGTAAAGATGCACATGTGTAGTGACTTTCTGAAGGATGCTATGTGTTGAATATAGTGTAATATGTGATAAAGATCACTAATGTTTTTGTAATTTTTAGACTATTTTATTTATCATGCTTATTTTTACACCAGTGTTGGTACAAATATTGAAATCAAAAGCAATATAAGAAAAAAATTTTTCATAATTGATTTTTATTTCTTTCGAAGTTTACTGTCGATAAAGATATACATTGAAATTGTTCTACTCAAGACAACCTATTTCATCTTTGTAATTTGATAAATTGAAACAGTCTAACAAGGAAACACAACTGGTTTAGTGATATAAAAAGTTAATATCAAACCCTGATATGTAATGAATTATAACTGAAATGTGACTGTATTTAACAATATACTGGTTCATTAAAACAAACTGAAGACATATCACTTTGTAAAAGCTAGTTTTATAGTATTGGATATGGTAACATGAGTGCATGTGTACCACATCATTGCAACTTCTGATAGTTAGACATGGCTGAAAGGTAATAAAATAAAAATAATAAATATATATTGATGTATAATGTTATGAGATTTAAGCTATTTAGATTAAACTTTTGTGGTTTCTTGTTATAATTTTTTAGTTATTCTAGAATGAAAAAAGCGTAACTTATATCTATTTCCTAATTTTTTTATGTTGGTTAGGAGGTCGATCAAATTGACTAAACCTATACAGAGATACAACAGTGAAAATAAGAAATACAATGTAAAGTTTTTTCTAACAAAAACGTTTGATAATTATCTGGAGGTTATTATGAGGTTATAAACATTTTGCATGTGAAATATGACAATTTTCTTATGCATAAAAGTATTCTTAATCTTAAAATAAAAATTACTTTGCATGTTGGATAGTTCACATTCAAAAAAGAAAAATGTACAAATAATCATTACTTAAAAATTCTTAAAATTTAATAAAAAAATCTGATATCTTGAGTACTAAAGCCTTGTAATATTTACTGCTAACTTGCAAAGTTTCTTGAAGATATGCATGCTGTATTAAAAGTTATAGTATGAAAAGTATAAAAAACACAAAATGGTTATGAGGTCGGCCCCTGGGATCGAGCCTGTAGTGAGAGAGTTAGTTTTCATCTTATCTATTATACAAATGTACAAACACAATAATGGTTGAGAAAAGCTACAGTCAAAAAAAAAGAGGAAGAAAAAAAAGTAGAGAAAGTAATAGCTAAAACTAGGAAGCTAATGGATTTATGGGCATCATTCTCTAGTGCCAAAACTCTCAACAGCTAAAACAATAGAAACAACAATGTAGAATCTAAATCTTGCAATGCTGATGACCGTCAACCTCATCATATCAAATTGAGCCCTTGCCTTCAACCACAAAGTATGAAAAACATAACTACCAATTAAGAATGTGAAAACAATCATGTAGAGACTACTATTCTCAATGCTGATGACTGTCAACCTCATCAAATTGAATCAAGCCCCTACCAACAGGAAGAAATCCATTCTTGCAATGTCACTGAAGATATAAACCCATCATTTATATTTGATAGTGGTACATGGACACAAATTTCTGATGAAATGATGGATTTTGCTTGTGGGTGGGGATTACTTCTTGCCAGTAAATGGATGCAGATTTTGGTGCATGTACAAAATCAATTCTAGGTAACAAGTATAAAAACCAATGCTCAAAGACTTTTATCATGAGCAATTGAATGGAGAAAAGGTTAAAAAAAAGAGACTGGCTTTGCTAATTACCATGGAAGGGGAACATCTTTTCCATTATATGCAAATTTTTGGCAAAGGCAATGGAAACATCTTTGCTAGCTACAACTAGTTACTCTGACTTAAAACTAGACGGCACGAGCATGCTTGTTGTATCAAAGTTGCATCACCATATTTATTATTTGTAAAGCAAAAAGCAGACAAATTAACAAGACTTGAACAGAGAAGATGGAGTCAAAGAAAAAATACTGGCAACAAGTTCTAGAGCGTATTCTCTATGTCATAAAGTTTCTATCATCCAGAGAGCTAGCATTCAGAGGAAGTGAAGTAGTTGGTTCAGTGCATAATGGCAATTACAGAGGAATACTAGAGTTATTTAATGAGTATGATATACACCTTGCTGAATACATTCAAAAACACAAAATAAGGGAAAAGGTCATGTTTTATACTTATCCTCAACTGTTTGTGTTGAATTCATAAAAATCCTATACAACAAAATACTCACAGCCATTATCCAGGAAATCAAAACATCCAAGCAACACTCAATGTCTGCTGATTTTACTCCAGACATATCCCCCACAGATCAACTAACAATAATCTTTAGGTACATTCTAGATGGTAGACATGTAGAGAGATTTGCGCATTCTTACTGATAATCAATCACACAGGAGCAGAACTTGCTAGAATTCTCATTAATTTCCTTGAAAAGAATGATATAAAAATTCAAGATTGCAGTGGGCAGTGTTATGACAATGCATCTAATATGAGTGGCAAATTTGTTGGCATGCAAGCCTTGATCAAAGAGAAGAACCCCCTAGCAGACTATTTTCCCTGGTATGCTCATTCACTCAGTTTGGTTGGACAATGCACTATGAACAGCTCTATTGAAACGTGTTTATTCTCTGCCACTGAGCAAAAACTTTGTATTTTTATCAGCTTGAACCCACCTGTGGAAGCACCTATATGATGTGTGTTTAAACAACTAGTGCTTCTGACAATAAATAGGTTATCAGACACAAGATAAAGCTCATTCAGACACAATACGAGCCTTAAAAATAGGGTACAATGCCATAACACAAGTTCTTGCTTCCATTACAGAAGATGACTCTGAAAAGCCTCAAGTGCACTTTGAGTCAAGAAGCCTTATGATACAATTGGAACAACTACAAATAGGTATAATGACAGAATTATAGAAAGTTATCCTAGAGAGGTTTTACAAGATAAGCCATCCACTATAAAATTTCCAAATGGATGTCAGTACAGTTTCTCATCTGCTAAAAAAGACATTTGTGCAGGAATAACATAATTCATTTCCTGAATATTAGGAAAAGGATAAAGAACTGTCAGGATGCAAGACATATAAGGTTGAAAGATAAAGGAAAAGTAAGAGAAACACAGAATGGGACAAAGAGGATGCTGAAGAGAGTGAATTTTCACCCTCTACTCAATCTGAAGTTCATACTTTCTTAACAATAACTGACAAACTGTCACATGCACTAGACAACAGAATAGTGACATATGAACATGAAAGTTGCAAATTTGGGTTTCCACAAAACATAAAAGTCAATGCCTACAGAAGACCTCTGCAATGCTACTAAAAAGCTGATTAGTACGTATCTTATGGACTTGGAGAGTTTCACAGAGGAAGAAACTGTACAATTTAAGGTTCATTGAAAAACCTTCAGAATCAAAGGATCAAGGTATGCTGAGAATGATGTGTGACCAATCTCTTAAATCAACATTCCAAAACATCTTGATAGTCTTAAAGGTGTACCTGTGCCTCATGTCAAGCAACTGCTCAGGAGAAAGGTCATTCTCGATGCTAAAAAGGATACAGAACACATTTTGATCAACAATGTGCTAAGACAGACTAAATACACTGGCACTTTTGTGCATAGAAAATGACTTGTTAAAATTGCTTAACACGAAACAGATCATAAATCCTTTTGCCACAAAAAAAAGCCATGAAATCAGTAGTTTTAACCAAGTACAGATGACATGGCCTGCTACTACTGCTGGGCATACTATGTGAGTACCAGTGTAATCTAAGTATGTGTGTGTGCAGTGAATGCGTGAGATGTTGAGTTTACGTGTAAGTAGTTTCTTTCTGTCTATATGCTTTGCTGTCCAAATGCATATTTCATCTGTGTTGGAGCACAACTTTTCCTTTTCAAGAAAAATCCAATATTATTCATTAATTTGTAAATGAATCTTGCAAGTCTGTGGGTATTATTTTCCCATTGTCTCCAAAAGTAAAACATATATTGAGGTTTAGTTTTTTATCTTAGTTTTTAGTAGCAATCATAATAGGACTTGTAAAACAATTTAGCCCCAGGCCCATCTGACCCTTAATCCACACTTGCATATGATACTATCACTTACCTAACACAGAATTACAACGATATTACTTTCATGTAATGAAATATGTTAAAAGAAATGTCTGCTGTATCACAAAATGTTAAATCTAACAGACATATCCAATATTCATGGCTTTTAATGAAACTACAATTGCCAGTGGTTTTGGCAATAGAAAATAAATAGGATTATGATCATCTTTACTGATGTCGATCAGAACAGAATCAGGGTCCTCCTCACATTCCATTCATGATTCCCTTGCCCATATTCATGCTGAAACCTATTATGCATCAGTTTAATCCACAATGCAAGTGACTGAAGTTGGAAGGAGAAGGAGCATGATTCAAAAAGCAAGTAATTTATGTTTAAAGCATATTTTAATAAAGTATTGTTGTATCAACTACATCTTATTTCTTACATAATAGAATACCAGAATTCCCATGGATGAAATAAAGAGGGGGTAAGAATAGAGCAACCTCACAAAGAAATAAGCCGACAAAAAAACAGCAAAGTGTAACTGAGATAGATGAAAAAGTTGCAGATACGATCTTTTTCTTGAGGAATCATCAGGTTCCATGTATTGAACAGCAACTAGAAGAGAAGAAAGGATGCCAACTAAGAATCACCACCTTGATTCACTGCTCAACTCAGTGGAAAAAAAAAAGCTTGAGAGAACATTATAAATTGCATTACTCTGTCAAATGTATAAAGGCTTGCATAAAGCATGATGCACTTAATTATAAAGGTTCATACCTTTATTCTGAACAGATTAAAGTGACTGGAGAGAGGTGGGAAAAAGGAAGGACACCTTATTATAATGCATTACAAGTACTCATAAGCTATTGCTACTGAAAGAGCTAGGAATAATTAGAACTGGAGAGAGAAGAAGTGAAATCTAAAAAATTAAACAAGTGTAAAGCAGCTTTCTGCCAAATTGTATTACTATAAATAAAACTTACGGTATAAATCCCTGTATTGTCCATGATGTCGGTAAAACACAAAAGTTCAAGAAGTCTTAATATATAATGATAAAACCCTAAAACCCTAGCACTTTTGAAAGGTGGACTTTTCATATTCAGAGACAAACTGGGAATCAGTTTGCCCCTGAAGAAGAAAGGTCCACTTTTCAAAAGCAATCAGGTTATAGGGTTTCTATCAATCAGTGTTCTATAATACTATGATATTTTAATATTTGAACTTTAGACTTCCACGTGATAGTCAAGTGCTATAACCACTGTAACACCCAATCTTTGTAACCTAATGTTAACAGATAATCCAAATCCATAATGTAAAGTATTATGTTATTTTTTTCTTAATATTGTAGTATCTTTCTATAAACAACATCAATTACTAATTAAATAAAGTTATAAAGAAATCCCAACTCAACTGGGATTTGAACTCAAGACTTCTACTTGAGACAAACCACTGAGCCAATTGAAACATCACTAACAGAGTCGAACATTACTGATAAAGGGAGCATTCCAAACAAAGAGTGGCTATAATTATATAGATATCTACATGTATGATGTAAAGCTTCATTTTCTAAGACTGTAGTATTTAACATTAACCTCCTCTAAGCTACAAAGCTGACTATCATCTATATTCACATGTATAGTGTGAAGCAGCATTCTGTAAGACTTTGGTATTTCCATTAACTTCCTTTCTGTAGCCAAACTGATTATAATTCATATCTACACATATGATGTAAAACAGCATTCTGCAATACTGTGGTACTCAACATTAGCCTCCATTCTGTAACAAAGTTGACTATAATTTAAAACTACATGTATGGTGCAAAGCAGAATTCTGTAAGAATGTGGTATTTCCATTAACTTCCTTTCTGTAGCAAAGCTGAATATTCTTAGACTGTGGTATTTAAGATTATCTTCCACTCTGTAACCAAACTGATTACAATTAAAACTACATGTATGATGCAAAGCAGCATTCTCTAAGACTATGGTACTTATCATTAACCTCCTTTTTATAACAAAGCTGATTATAATTACTATAAACACGTAAGGTGCAAAGCAGCATTGTGTAAGACTGTGGTATTTACCATTTACATCCTTTCTATTAATATAACCAATATCTACATGTGAGGTGCAAAGCAACATTGTGTAACACTGTGGTATTTATTATTAATGTCCTCTTAATAACCAAACTGACTATAACTGATATGTACAGTGCAAAGCAGCATTTTGTAAGACTGGTATTTAACATTAATATTCTATTTCTAATAAAGCTCACAACAGATAAGATTTATATATCCATTCTGTTAAATAGTATTCTGCAAGGTTGTGGTATTAACACTGTATATAGCAGATATATTTTGGTTGACACATTGTTATATATTCTCCTTCACATTCAATCACAAGTTCTTAAAGTTACCCTCTTTTGTGAAAGAAACCTGACTATAATAAGTAAAACATATTTTTGTAAAACTGAGTTTTTTAGCAGTAGTGAACTGCTTGTGATAATAGACTATTATTTATATAATCAATGATATTGATTGTAAATACATTTATAGTAAGTTTCTTATCAGGTTGGGTGTGGACTAGTGGTTAGGAAGCCTAAACTGTGAACCTGAAGGTCTATGATTTGTTTCCTGCTATTACATCAATATGCTCCCTTTGTTGTTGACCTGGGTATACCAGACAAATAAATTATATCCATTTAAAGGAGGCAGTGGAAAACCAACTCAACTATTATTTCCCCATGACAGACGTAATGTCTTCATGTGTCATTGTATCCACCTATCCGTAGTTTCAATGATGTTTTTTTTAAAAGCTTTGTTATAATGTCAAATGTTAATATTTAAGAAAATTATAATCTTTTGTAAAACATAGAATTGTAACTTAATGCAGTAAGTTGGCCTTCAGCATTACCTATTAATTTCATGTTCATCAAAGAATTCTCTAATATTTATTTTGGTTGGGACAAGTACAACAACAAACTCACCTAATACAATCTTCTGTGATAATGTGAATTTTAACAGCATCTTCTAAGTTGTGACAAAGCTGGCTGACCACAGAAAGGACAAGATGAGTGAGAGAACGACCAGCAAATCTCAATGAAGATATAAGCAAACTGAGCCAGTGTGTGTGAAGATGAGCCTTATGGTGTTGTCTCAAAGCACAAAGAAGGGCTGTGAGGAACATGGGCTGCGATGGAATTGAGATTCCTAAATATGGAAACATTATAGTACTTTATTGTATATACAAATGATAACCTTTGATGAAACAACAATAACAAAAAATAACTTCAATTATCCTTTGAAAATGCAATACTGAACAGGAAAATGAGAAAAGTTCAAGCTAGAATTTTGAAAGCTTTTATCAAAGTAAAACAGTGACAAATTTCTAAAACCTTTACAGTTAAAGGAAACACTGTTGAGGATATTCATAAACAAAAAAGAATTTTGCTGCAGGAGAAGTGGGTTCAAATTGGATCTTGGTCCTTTAACTGTTCCTAACTTAGCTTTTCCTTTGTCATACCTAGTATCAATTATGTCTTTTTTTATAAATGTAAGCTAAGGTTGCAACTCTATTTATTATAACTACCTTCTACTTTTAATAATAATAGGGTTTTTAAAAAAGTTTTAGCTTAAAGTTTGTTTGCATTTGTCTTTAGCATTATAAGCCTTAAGATATATCACTGAGCCAGTGGGAGGATCTACCTTAAAGCTATGAGTAACCAACCCACTGATTGTGTTTACTGAGATAAAACTCCAATAAAGAGAGAAGAAAAGAAAAGGGTGTAATCACTGCAATATTTCAAGAATGGATCTAGTATCCAAAAAGACATGTAGTGATCTATTGCAGGTAGAATAATAGAGATTAGACTAATTGTGAAACTACTAAAAACAAAATAAATTTTATATTAGCTGAAAACAAAGTAATCATGCACTAACTGATTGTGTTCTGGTTGGTTAAAATGAAATAATTAATTTGCACTTAATAAGAAACTGTATTTAATTAAAGAAGATAGAAATAGACTTGAATTGTAACTGTTAGGTTTTAGGTATCATTTAGTGTGTTCTTTCTGTTGGTTTCAAATATACCCATCAAATAAGAACACACAGTTTAGATAAAATTCCTTCAAAGCTATGATAAGTATGAAGAGGCTTCACTGATGGATTTGAATTTATATATCTCCTCAAATTGAGAAGGTGGGAGGCTCAAATTTTATATTTTAGCCATTCAATATTTACAGGATATGTTTCTAATTGGTTGGACTTGTATATGATTAAAAAAATAAAATCTGAAAAGGAAAATTTAGAGAGGAAATATGTCACATGACACAAATAAGTGAAGATTGAGAATATATTCAAATATTTCCTCTTGAAATTATGGAATCAAAACTAATATAATATAAAAATCTGAATTAGAAATTATATTATGATGCAAACTTCTTAATATTTTGATAATAAAGTTACTTAATTACATTTTGGACGTAAAAGGACATGCATGCTTTGACAAAACCGAGTGTATAGGTTTTAGCAAATACACTAACTGGTACACCTTCTTTAGCTCACTTAGCAAATTACACAGGCCTGCGATGGTTTTATTGTCTTGATATTTTTACATGTTCTACAGCAATTAATGCATTGCTAAACCCGTAAATTATATCCATTTTTCTCCATCACTTATAGATTTTTCATAACACGTAGTTTTGGGACTGAAAGACGTAGATTTCACAAAAAAAAAATCAGAATGAATGAGGATGCATATTCATTTGACATCAATGTTCTCCCTTTTCTTCAGTTTGTTTGTATTTTTGTTAACAAATATAATGATAAAAATGTTCGTTGTGGTAAACAAAATAATGATCTGTAATAATTTGATAAAGTAAGAGTTTTTTTTTCCTTCTTGATTTGTAAAAAATCCTTACTTGACAGAAAAAAATGAATATTATTTTTTAAATTTGCATAGATGAATTACAGAAAATACGTTATCAAAACCAAAACACCTTTTATGAAGTTTAAATTTGCAAGCCTGTGTTGTTATAAAATGAAATGATTACAGTGGTCCATTACTATGAGGGGTATGGCAATATCCAGTACTATTCACTAGATGAAGTTTTCTCTGGTACAGATGATTCTTTTTCTCAGCTACAGTGCAGTGTTTAAATCAATGTTGTATATGTCTGTGGAAATGTAGTCAGTAAAACAACGTCTACGGGTGTAGAGTAGCATGAGGCACTCTCTGATACCCTTGAGTTTGCATGTTGTGTAATGTTCAGAAAATCTTCAGTATGAGAGGTTTCAGAACCACTAGCTGTATCACAGTTCAGACAGTTCTTTGTGGGTAGCAGTAATGTTTAACACTCTTCCCTGTACTTCCAATTTCCAAATGTTATGAGCTTTTGTACTACATTCACCAATCTTGCTGCAGGGTCCTTTAATTTCTCCTTTAACTTTCCTGCATCATATTCAGTATCCATTCATAAGTAGAATGCTCAGAATTACATTGGTTATCATCAGGGCTGAGACTTAAGGTTCTAATGCAACATATGTAAAGGATCAACACTACAAAAGGACAAGCAATTCAACTACTGCTGAGATAGTTCATCTGCATTTCCAAGCTGTTGGCACATTCAGTGTAGTAAAGTGAAAATTCATTCCTGCAATCTTGTGATCTAATGTGCAAAAGTACCTTCTAGTTCTGTAAGGTTCATCAACCATTTCAGTGATGCATAATCTACTCTAGCAGTAAATCTTCTACAATAAAACATTGCCAAAAGTTTATTCTTTATCATATAATTACAGCATTTAGAAGATATCAGTATTAAGTTCACAGATGCTATAATATGACACACTTTCCAGTGTTTGTGACAGCACTGTTTTGATCTCATTGTTATTGGCAACTGTATCCAGGATGAACATAACATCTCTCCTCAGATAAGCTAACATTGGTGCTTCAAACAAGAAATATTTTAGCAAGTGGAATGACTTTTTTGCACAGTCCTCAGTCATCTAAAATGAGATTAAACCTTTGTTATTGCCTAAAGCAATACCATTAAAGAAGAAAGGTTGAAGAAAAAAGTGTCTATAATATGATGCATAGCCAAAAAAGCTTTGAATTTCCTTTTTAGTTATAGGTTCAGGAAAGTCTACCATTGTCTTTATTTGAGAAGAATGAATTTTGAGACACACTGCTTCTACTTACTATACATCCTTTAAACACTGAATACATTTGCATGTTAATATATTTCATTGGCTTCAGTTTTAGATCTACTTTCTAAAAAAGATAAATATCATGCCCAAGTTTCCATTTAAGGCCTAAAAATTGCATAAACACAAAATTATCTTCAACATATATGTTATTCTATTCCTATTCTAAATGGCATAATAAGAACTCCATTAGTTTCTCAATAGTAATTGTCACATTACACAGTCTGAATGGCACAATGTGAAACTCATACAAGTCTTCTTGAATGAAAAAAGCAGTTTTGATCTACCAATAGCCAAAAGCATGATACAGTGAATAAAACCAATGAAATCCTTCCAGTGCATTCAGACATTAATCCATGCATGGCAACAGAACTGTATCAATTCTAATTATCCTGTTTACCTGTATGATGTCTATGCAGAACTTTGTCATACCTCCTTACATACAAATGGATGCTTTAAATGATACAGATTTGACGTATCTAGATAATGCGTGGTGGTGTTTGCTCTCCCCAGTCAGCTATCTGATCTAAAAAAATATGTTGACATGGTTCCCACACCTTGGGCAGAAATAAATTCTCTTATCTTTCCAAGACCATTTGATTTATGCTTTTAATGTATCATTACTTAAAATAAACTGTGAAATCACAAAATATCATTCCTGAAATTGTTCCATAATGACAAAAGACACTGCATGTTAAGAGCCACAGTTTACTTAAAGTTATAATTTTCCTATACTGAAAATATATTTCCGATAGGTACTTACCTCCCCTCACAGATATAGCTATTCTCATTTAGTGCTGCCCTCTATGTGCAAAGTTTTTTGCATGCCACAAGCCTTGAGCTCCCACATACTCCATGAGCAATGTGTTTCAACTGCTTCTCACATATAAATCATCATGCAACAACTCCCCACCAATAGGAGTATGACACACGCTCCTGATGCATGTGACTCCCTCTATTCGATTCTACTGAACTATCACTTTGAGTTTTGGCAGAAAATGGAAGCACCGGTTTTCAGTGGGGAGGAAGGGAGGTAAGAAAATTATGACTTCCAATATGGTACATTACCTTTGCTCAAAGATATAGCTAGAATCCTACATTAAATAAGAGAAGGGACCAGTATGAGTGAAAGAAATAAACATCCTCTGAAAGTGTCCAAAGAATACCTGAAAATGGGATATCCTTGTAACAGAGGATCATACATGGGAGACTGCACCACTTCTGTACCAGGTATATTCTACGCCCAGTGTGGAAAGAGGTGTCACATGGGCAGAAAATGGGAGGAGCACATCCAAGAGAGAGAGAACAAAAGTTGGATAGGGATCTGAACCACCTGATATCAGAATCTCAATATTTTTTATCACATGCATCCAAAACCCAGCCACCAGGAAACGACATCCATGTGGGGGTAATGATGAGGATCATACCATCAGTAAGTCAACTACAGTTCAAAACCCAGCCACCAGGAATTAAAATCAATGAGGGAGTAGGAAATAGGAACATACTGGCAGCAAGTCAACTGCAAGTCTGAAGAATGGCAACAGGTGGAAGATGATAACCTGACGAGGAAGAAACAGCTATCTGATGCATATAGTGAAAGATGAATGTATATGGTGTGATTCACATGCCTGATTGAAGCTTTCCTCCAATGGACAACAGAGATGAGATGCCATGGGAAAGATAAGGTGCCAATCAGGTGGAGGAAGCAGAACACCCACTGATGTGTGGGCCTTGTCTAGCCACCAATGCAGGTCATTGACAAGGGAAGGAGTAAGTAAAATAAGAGCACCCAAGGTTCCATTGGTCTTGCAGAGTCCACTGAATAGACCTCGTATGTGCTTGCCTCAAGGTGATAATGGTTTCCATAGAAGACCACATCTCCAAAAGCAATAGCACCTTGTGAGCAGTAATCGAGGGAGCAGTAAGGGTGTGGAAAACTGAAAGCTCCATTGAATGGAGTCAAAGAAGTGAAGGTTGGGCCAGACTGAGATGATTGTTGAAAAAGACAGCCAAGTGGGCAAGATATTGGGTAGATATATGGAATGATTTCTTTCAACTAGATTAACCAACCCACATGGGCTGCCTCCAAAAGAAGCAGATTAGTGTGATGGGCAGACTCCCAATCAGAATGAGCCAGTCATCCATGTAATGGTGTAAGTGCAACCCCAAAGCATGCATACGTCAGGCCAAAGCCTCAATCCTCAACAAAAGACATATGGAGACAAAAAGTACGATATTCAACGTAACTTACTCACTATAAAATAGTCATTGCTTAGACAAACCATAATTTTTATAACTTTCAATTTTGTTTGATTACAGAGCTATCAAATAGAAAATCAGACCCTTCCTGCCACATCTTCTCTTTCACGATTTGTTAATAGTTCTCTTTTACATTTAATTATATATTACTTATAACCAATAGAAAACAAAGGTTTTCATTTATCAAATGACATGTTATATAACATTGTGTTCTGAACATATAAGCATCAATTTTACTTATAATACATTGTTCATTCCCATGGGAAAGTTAAAAACTAGATTGGATGAATTTTTAACAGCTCTTGTTGCATAGTCAGAAAGCCAGAAAAATTTTGAGAATTAGGGGAAATTGTCTACTTTTTGCATGTTATTAGTTTTTGTTCTTTGGTGTATTATTTAATAAAAAAAAATTATTTTGCGCATTTCTACTAATCAAGGGCAAGAAAAAAGAAGATTGTGTAAATACTTTATTTTTTGTTTTTCATGTTTATTCTCTATTTATTATTATAAAAGTAAGTAAAATGTAAAAATAGGAATCTCTTTAGGTTAATTAAGGTTAAATTAGATAAAATAAACAATAATAATAATATAATAAAAATATTTCACGAGACACGCATGCGAGCAGCTCGGAGTAGCTCATGGGTAATGTAATTCGATAGTGTAACGTGAGCTGCATTTTCACCAAGTGATATACAACTTATAATGGCACAAAACATAGTTAGACATGATTCAAAGGGTAATCAAAAGGGCAATAAAACAATAAAATTTAATTATAAATTGATGTATACTGTTACAAGTTTCAAGCTACTTATGATAAATGAATGTAGTTTCACGCTACATTCGAAGTTATTCTAGAAAGAAAAAAAGAGTAATTTAGATTTATTTAGATTTTTTTTTGGTGGTTACGAGGTCAGTCAAATTGACCAACCTTGTATACATTTAGGGTACAGATAATTACAGATAAAATAAAATATAGAGTTTTACCAAAAACAAACATTTGAAATGTATTTAGGAGGTTTTAGAGGTTCTGAGATGAAGAAAAGTATTTTTAATCTTAACATGAAAATCACTTGGCACATGGACTATTGAAAACAAATAATCAATATATTCAAAGACATAAAAATACTTCACTAAAAATATGATTTTATGTATGTGAAAGACTTATAATGTTTACTGAAAGACTGCCAAATTTTGTGAAGATATACACACTATATTAAAAGCGAGTAGTATCAAATCTATAAGGACTTCAAATGACTACAGGGAGGTCACGTGATTGGTCAAATTGATCAAGCCCATTTTTAGAGAGTTAAGGTCTTGGGTATTGCTGGTTGTGAGGATGATGCTGCTGCTTTACAAAATAATTTAGATTATTTGTTGAGTTAGGCAAATAAATGGCAGATGGATTTTGATTACAATAAATGTAAGATAATACATGTGGGTTATAATAATTTGAATTATAAATATAATCTGGATGGGAATAAACTTAACAGTGTTATGGAAGAAAAGGATATAGGTGTAGTGGTTGATCAGTCTATTAAGTTATTCAAGTGGTGTGCTGTTGCTAATGATATGTCAAATAGCATTTTAGCTTGTATTTACGCAAATATTGAATACAAGTCTAAAAAGGTTATAATTTTATTGTATAGGTCAATGGTTAGGCCACATTTGGAGTATTTGTTGGAAATGGTTCAAAGAATGGCTACTAGGATGATACCTGTGATGGAAAGGTTGTCATACGAGAAGAGGTTAAGATCTCTGAAATTGTTCTCTCTTGAAAAAAAGAGGAGTTAGGTGATTAAGGTGTTTAAGATTGTTAAGGGAATTGATGATGTTGATGCATCATCTATTTTCATACTTAGTGGTGAGAATGGTAAGACCAGGGGAAATGAATACAATTTTTAGCAGAGTAGGAATCATCTTCACCTAAAACAGTTATATTTTTCTTACAGTGTAGTTAGCCTTTGGAATAGGTTGCCTTCAGATGTTGTGGAAGCAGCAAATTTAAGTGAGTTTAAGAGAAAGCTTGATAACTATATAAATGATAAGGGCTGGCTTTGAGGTTTTTTTTTAGTTTTTAGTTTAGTTTAGAGGATGGGACAGCCTAGATGTACCAATAGGTTATGTTAAATGCATAGAGTAAGTACTTTTCTCTTTTATTTTTGTAACTCATTAACTCTTCTTTATAGACTTGTATATGTACAAAATTCATCTCTTCCCTTTTATTTTGTAAATGTTTATGCTTAGTACTTCTTTGTATTTATATATTTATTTATGTATGCTGTGTATAATATTAACATAATTACTAAAATGGTATGTATCATGATTTTTCCAACTGTAAGACCCTGATGTAAACTGACTAGACAAATGTATATTTCTTATTGTTTATTATGTAACTATGGCCTTGACTATCCTTTTGTTTTGTATGCTGTTTACATTTAACATAATGTACTGATCTAAAGTAATCTAAGTTTCGTTATTTTACATCTTGAAATGGTTTGTTTTTGAATTTTATTCTGTTTTTCTTTAAAATCTAAATTTGGCTGTATATATTTCAATTGTTACTAAGGGTTTCTTTTATATAATTTTATGCTGTGAATTTTGATCATGTTTTTTAAATGGGTAATGTTCACACAACTGTTTGTTCACTTCACTGACACTACATTAAATTGGAAGAACAGCAGTGTGCTTTGTATAAGTGAACATATCAGGTTATGTACATACAACTGTTTGTTCACTTCACTAACATTACATTAAACTAGTAGAAAACAGTTTACTTTGTATAAGTGAACATATTAGGTTATGTACATACAACTGCTTGTTCACTTCACTGACACTAGATTAAGTTGGAAGAACAACACAAGTTTTGTGTAAGTGAATATACTATGTTAAATTGGTAGCATAACAACCTGCTGTTTTGTAATGTTACAAAACAACTTGTAAGGTGCATTTAAGGTATTAAGAAGCAATTTTGTGTAATCCAGTTTGAAGAATATAAATTTCAAACTTTAAAAAATAGATCTATTGCTCCACTTACGTTCACTGTGTCATCAAAAACAGAGGTCAGGATGTAATATTATTTGTGTGTTAGAAAAAAGGACTTTTAAGATGTATTTCAGTACCATTCCTAATTAAAGATTGAGAAGCATAGATCTTCCACATAGATCTTTTATACCTAAAATTGTGATGCTTATCTTTTAGTACCTATAGAAAATAGGAGTGTAATTTACTGAGGCAAAAAAAAACAATTCTTTCCCATCTCTACTAACCTCTTTACTGTCAGCATGACTACATTTTGTACCCACAGTATTTTCATTAAGTCAAGTTTTTTACTGATAAAGGTACACTTAACCCTATCACAACGAGCTTGTGTATTTTAAATGATCTTGTAACCATGGTGATGTACATACCATAATTCTGAAAGTACATAATGTAACTTCACAAAATTTGTCAAGATTTCAGTAAACTTTAAATCTTTCGTAGACAAAAAATCTGACTTTTCAATTAAGTAATTTTACTAAAACTTTGTCTGTAATTATATGGTATCAGTGTCGACTGCTATGAGTGCAAAGTGATTTTCATGTTAAGACTAACAATATTTTACTTTCTGATAATTTTCAAATTTCATTTGTGTATTCTCTGAAACCTCCTATATAAATATCATTTTTTTTTCAGAAAGACTTTATATTTTATCTGTTATTTTCTATACTGTAACTCTACACAGGGTTGGTCAATTTGGTCAACCTCATAACTACCATAAAAAAAAAGTATATAATTCTAAATTCCCTTTTTTTTGTTACTGGAATGACTGCAATTTGTAACAGCAAACCACAATTAGTTATTTTAAATGACTTAAAACTTGTAACAGTGTACATCTATTTATACCTAGTTTTAATGTTTTGTTGACTTTGGAACCATGCCTAACTAATAATCCTGCCATACTAGTTGTAAATCAGGCATATGTGTAGCTCATGTTACTATATCAAATTACATAATGCATGAACTACTCGTTAACTGCTTGGAGGCATACCTCATGAAAAATTTTCTTTATTATTTTTACTCTATATTTTACCTAATCTAACCTTAAAAGTTTCTAATTTTTACATTTTAGTCTTCTTTTTTTGCTGTCAACTGTCAATGAAACGTAACCCTACTTTTTTATACTAATGGTACTATTGCACTAAATAGTTTTTTAATTAACCCTCTCACTATGGGCATCTCTTTCTGCACACATCACAAAGTTTTACTGATTGACATTCAACATTTAATGAAACACAGAATAATAACATATTAAAAACAGACAATGTCCTACAACTATAACAATTTCTATGGCTTTCTGATTATGTGATAAGAGCTGCTAAAAATTCAGCTAAGCTGGTTGATGTGATTCCCATGGGAATAAAGTTTGAATTGGAAGCCAAATAGACAATTCTCTATATAGAAAACATCGATATAATACATCATTAGATATATTAAAACTCTGGCTTTCTATTGGTTATAAATAATATAGTATTAAATATTAGAGAGAACTGTTGGCAATCTGTAAAGGAGATTGGGCCTGGCTTAGTCTGGAATGAAAAACACCATTAAATAGATGAGGCACTGTGTGGGAGTAAGAATAGGCTTCTCCTTTTTGATAAGAAACCCAGATATCATAGCTTCTGATAACAGAGTTTGAGTGTGCAGTTCTGCCAGATGTCTGGAAGGGGTGAGAAAAAGCCAGTCATCTATATAATGGTGAATGTGAATGCTGAGAAAACGGATATGATGTGAAAAACTCTGACTATCCGGCAAAAAATGTATGGAGTAGATACGAGGCCAAATGGTAGAGCACAAAACTGAAATACGTGGTTGCCGTGCACAAAACAGAGATAATGCCTTGAAGACTTGGCAATTGAGATATAAATGTAGGCATCTGCAAAGTCAAATTTTGTCATCCGTAGTTCGGGTGAAAAGAGTCACCAAAGGAAAAGAAACTACTCCATTGTAAACTGAGGAGGCTAAACACATAAGACTGACTTTGTAATTTTTGCTGTGTAGAAAATTGAAGAAGAAAAATAATGGGGAGCTTATATACAGATTTGGTATAGAGTGCGCATTGACTTAGGTGGAGAGAATCACAAGATTAAAATCACTAGGTATATAGTGCAGTATAAAGATTGGAGCAAGCAAGGGATTCATACCAATGCTTAGAAGAGCAAAGAAGAATCTTTCATCAAATATAGCTAAAGTGTGAATGAAGGTGTCTTTCTGAATGCCCTATTACACAGGTAATAAATAAAAAAGGCATGTCTACCTGGTTGGTACTTAACAGAAGACATCTGTGCTTGCAACTGGATTTTTGATGGTCTTGGGTCTGCCTTAGTCCCTGATCCTTCAGACGTACTCCAAATGGAAACCTGATTCTCCAGCACAATCAGAGTAGTTATAAGTCTCAATATGTGTACCTGCAAAATACCATTTAACACCAATTTAGAAAAATATTTCCCTGTCATACATATTAGAAACAAAAACAATCAAAATATGAACTGTAAAATATTAATATATATGTACCATATCTTAGCCTTATCACACCAGTACCTCTATCAACAACCTGGGTATTCTGTTAATTACTTTGTTCTAATCATAGGTACAACTAATAAATAAGTGCCTATCAATTTCTTTATATTTGCTTTTCAGTAACTATATGTAGTTTTGGCTGATAATACGCTAGTAACACATCATGAGATTCTTGAAGGATCTTTACTTTTCCTGACAACTCTAGTTGTGGAGAGATGATTTGCAGATAGACAGATAATTGAGTCAAGGGAGCGGTAGTGACAGTAAGTAAAGTGTGTGAATCGTTGTGAATTATAGCGTGTGTTTAAGTTAAAGTGACTGTGAAAATTCTGTGTATTGCAAAGTTGTATTGAGAAAGAATAAACTAGTTTTATTTAAGAAAGGACATGTATCGCTGAAGTTTCTCAGGAAGAATTTATACTGGAAATTAACAAACGACCAGAGACATAACAATACTATTAGCTAGTGTGTTTTTAAAACTAGTTGTCTTCAAGATACATACTATTAGTTAGTTTGTGTATATTAAAACTGGTTGTCTTCAAGCTACATACTACTAGTTTGTTTATTAAAATTGGTTGTCTTCAAGGTACATACTACTAGTTTGTTTATTAAAACTAGTTGTTTTCAAGCTACATACTACTAGTTTGTGTATGTTAAAATTAGTTGTTTTCAAGTTACATACTACTAGTTTGTGTATGTTAAAATTAGTTGTTTTCAAGCTACATACTACTAGTTTGTGTATGTTAAAATTAGTTGTCTTCAAGCTACATACTACTAGTTTGTGTATATTAAAATTAGTTGTCTTCAAGCTACATACTACTAGTTTGTTTATTAAAATTGGTTGTCTTCAAGCTACATACTACTAGTTTCCTTGAAGACAACCAATTTTAATTTACATACTACTAGTTTGTTTATTAAACCTAGTTGTTTTCAAGCTACATACTACTAGTTTGTGTATATTAAAATTAGTTGTCTTCAAGCTACATACTACTAGTTTGTTTATTAAAATTGGTTGTCTTCAAGCTACATACTACTAGTTTATTAAAATTGGTTGTCTTCAAGGTACATACTACTAGTTTGTTTATTAAACCTAGTTGTTTTCAAGCTACATATTACTAGTTTGTGTATATTAAAATTAGTTGTCTTCAAGCTACATACTACTAGTTTGTTTATTAAAATTAGTTGTCTTCAAGCTACATACTACTAGTTTGTTTATTAATGTTTGTAATGCTCTAACAACAAAGGAATAAATTACATTCTTGAAATTGTTAAAATTGAAATAAACATTTTTGACTTTAGTTTATCATGCTTTAAATTTTTTTGTCTTCTCATAGTAAATATGAAACCACTCATAAGCGTTAAACTGAACAGCTTTCTCATTTTCTTTTCCATCAAAGTACTAACTGTATATGTAATTAAAAATAATTTCAGTGAATCTAATACAACCAAGTTTCAAGTTTCCAAAGTAGTTCTGTTTACTGGTTCACAAGTTAAATCTGTGGAAGGAACTTAATAATTCTACTTTTTGTTTTTTTTTGTACATATGCAGTTGAACATTTTGTTTATGCCATACTTAATACTTGCCATATTATTCAACATGAAAGAAGAAAATTCTAAAATTAACATTTTCTTTAAATGAAAATGTATTTCCAATAGATACTCACCCTCCTTACACAGAAAGCTATTTTCCTTTTGAAGTCCTACTAATCTGCTTGAGAAACTTGCATGTCAACAGCCTTGTGAAAACTCCCACCTAAATTTCACATGAAACACGTGAACTTCATCATTCTTTAATGAGGTAACAAATAAAGGTGCACCAGGAAAGTGGGGAAGATGAGTGGGAACATGTATCTATCAAAAATTAATTTTCAATTAAGGAAAATGTTAACTTCCAACACACAAAAAAGAGCACTTGTGATAAGTATCTGTGTTCAGCTCCTCTACTGTCAGACACTTCAGGCCCCTTGCCAGTTGCTGACGGAGAGCACCAGTGGCAAGGATCTCCCATGCTCCATTCGGGGAGTAGTTAATGTCGGGAAAAGCAAGAAATGTGCCTGGATCCCCATCATATGCCTGTCAGTAAAGGTCTTTTACTGGAGGCAGTGCAATGGGTACCCATGGAACCCTATTGTTAAAAGCCAGCAGGTGCTAGCCAGAGAAGTGAGCAGATGCACAACTCTAGTGCTGGCTTTTTCCATGATAGTCCATGGAATGGATACAGTCTGGATCAGACTACTAAATGTTTTATAGTATTACAATGAGTAATACTCTCGTGGTCTTGTGGAACACCCAATTTCATAATGGGCACAGTGTGAGATAGTGCAGATGGTATGAGTACTTTCCATTATCCTGGCACACTTCAGATTTTAAGTATACCCTAGGAGGCAACACTAACAACCAAGTGAAAACCAAAAATAGAATGAAGATGAGGAAGAAATAAGTAAAATAATACTCTCATTAAAGGTGCAGGGTCAATTGAAGAATGAGCATTAGTGGAAATCTGTATGCTACTGAAGATGAGACAGCCAGCCAGATAGTGGAAGTAGTGTAAGATAAATTGGTGTGGGGTAGTCCACATGCCATTATGGAGAATCTCCTCAAACTGTGAATGGGGAGCTGCCAGAGACTGTGTCAGAAGACAAATCTGGTGAGAGAAGACATGAAATGGTTAACAACTAACCCCACCAAAGGAAGAGTAAAAGAGCCGGAGGAATTGAAGCATCCATCTGGTAAGCGTGGAGGGAGAAAGAATACTAGTATATAAGGGATCTCAAGGAAAAAAAAAGAAAGTACAGAAAAGATAAAAATGAACAGCCTGGACTGAACACAGGAGTCTGTCCAGAACAAACATCCATAAATAATGGAAACAGAAGGAAGGGTAATGGGAAAATGGGGAACTGTCTTTCTAAGTATCCAAAGTCTTAGGAAGAACGATACAGTTCGGGTAGAGAAGAACTAACTCCACCAAACGAAAAAGTATCAGATGAATTGAAGAATCCATCTGATAAGCGTGGAGGGAGAAAGAATACTAGTAGATGAGGAATCCTAACAGAAAAAAAGACCAGGTCATCAACCCCAAAAGAAGGAAGTACAGAAAAGATAAAAATGAACAGCCTGGACTAAACACAGGAGTCTGTCTGGAACAGAATGTCCATAAGTAAGTAAGGGAAACAGAGGGAAGGTTAATGGAAGAATGGGGAACTGCTTTCTTCCTAAGTATCCGAAGTCTTGGGAAGGACAATACAGTTGGGGTAGAGAAGAATGCACAAGCAGTGGAAATGGAATCGAATGGAATTGGTAAAGTAAAACTCAGAACAATGATGAGCACTCGTAAGAAGGAGAAGGAAAGAAAATTAATAGAGAGGCAACAGAAGGAGATCATCAAGGTGTTTGAAAAGGATCAACAGTGAGGGCATGATCAACATTCAATACCCAATCAAGCAATGGAGTGGGAATGGAAGACGTATATATATATATATATATATAGTAAGGAGGAGACATAAGAGAGTAAGTAAAGGTAAGGGAGGGAAAGAAAAACGAAATAGTAAGTAAGTTTGGAGGGAGAGGAAGGTAAGTAGGAACAAAAGAACTACTGA